CAGCAGAACACTTACCACGTTTTGTACTGATTGCCTCCATTTGGCCTGTCTTGAGAAGTGCCCAAGGAGCTGCCCAGAAAGCCAATGGAGCCAAACCCGAATCAGAATATGAATTATTTGCAGTATTGTCCTGATTGGTGAGCTGGACCATTTCTCATGGTCATGAGCATGGACAATTCTCTTTATAAATCACTTACTTGCCCGGAACAGACAATACAATACAACAAAGGCATTCATATGGAAACAGACAAAAAAGACACTCAGCTTCTCTCAAAATTTTGTGTGCTTTTTTTTGTGTGTGTGGTTACAAATGCACTGTGTTAAAAAACTTAAGAATGTACAAAAGAGTATTAAATTGCTATAAATTCACTCTGTTCTCAAACTCCTAAGTAAATTGCTATAAATATTCTGGCAAGTTTCTTTCCATGCATGTTTTTCTTTTTATATAATTGGAGTCACACTATATACCGTCCCCGGCTCCATATTTTTTGTATGTGTATGTTCAAATATACTGAACCAAATTTATCAGCTTACCCATTTGTAAGTGTACCATTAAAGTGGCATTAAGTACATTCACACTGCTGTGCAAACATCACCACCATCTATCTCTAAGACTTTTTTCATCTTCCCAAACTGAAACTCTGTACCCATTCAACACTAGCTCCCTATCTCCCCTTATCCCTGCTTATCCCCCTGGCAACCATTATTCTTTCTGTCTCTGTGAATTTGACTACTGTACATCCCTCATATAAGTGGAATGACACAGTATTTGTATGACTCACTTATTTCACCTAGCATAGTGTCCTCAAGGTTCATCCATGTTGTCAGAATTTCCTTCCTTTTTAAGACTAAGTCATGATCCACTGTATATGTGTATATGTTACCACATTTTGTTTATGCATTCGACCATTGATGGACACTTTGGTTGCTTCCACCTTTTGGCTCTTAAAAACAATGCCACTATGAATACATGTATACAAATACCTAGTAGAGTCTGTGCTTTCAATTCTTTTGGATATATACCCAGAACTGGAATTTCCTGATCACATGGTAATTCTAATTTTAATTTTTTGAGGACTTGTGTACAGTTTTGAATCCTTTTTGTTTCTAATTCACTTAACTTTTTGTTTAAAAATTTTAAATGTTTATTCATTTTTGAGAGAGAGAGAGAGAGAGAGAGAGAGAGAGAGAGAGAGAGAGCAGGGGAGGGACAAAGAGAGAGGGAGACACAGAATCCGAAGCAGGCTCCAGGCTCTGAGCTATCAGCACAGAGCCCAGCGTGGGGCTCGAACTCACCAGCTGTGAGATCATGACCTGAGCAAAAGTTGGACGCTCAACTGACTGAGCCACCCAGGCACCCCTGATTCACTTAACTTTTGAGCATGGGTATTTTTCCAACAATATTTTTGTAACTTTTTATATAATTTCAAACACCAAAAAAAGTTGCAAAAATTATAGAACTCCAATATATCCTTCAACCAGATTCACTAATTATTCTCATTTTGTCATGTCTTATCATTCTCTCTCTTTCTCTTTGTGTATGCGTTTGCGTGTATGTATAGAAAGTTCCAGATATCATGCTCCTTTAGCCCAAAATGATTCAATGTGCATTCCCTAAGAACAAGGACATTCAGGGGCACGTGGGTGGCTCAGATGTTAAGTATCCAACTCTTGACTTTGGCTCAGATCATGATCTGACAGTTTGTGGGTTCAAGCCCTGAATAGGGCCCCGTGCTGACAGTGCGGAGTTGGCTTAGGATTCTCTCTCTGTCTCTCCCTGGCTTGTACATGCACATGAGCCATCTCTCTCTCTCTCAAAATAAATAAATAAACTTAGGAAAAAAAAAAGAACAAGGACATTCAATTTCATAACTACAGAACAATCATCAAAATCAGGAAATTAAACATTCATACCATGTTCTTATCTAAAGTCAATATTCAAATTTTGCTGGTTGTCTGCACTCTGAGAACACGCATTAAATTTAACTGTCAAGTCCTGTTGTGGGCAGTTTAAAGGTGTCCCAGTCCAGATTCCCATCCCCTGGCTAGTCAATCAAATGTTAATCTGGTACTTCTATGAAGGGGCTTTGCAGATATAACCAAGATGTAACTAAGATTAAGAATCAGCTGATCTTAAAAAAGAGAGTATCCTGACCTACACAGGTGGGTCCAGTGTACTCACATGAGCCCTTAAAAATAGAAGAGGAAGAAAAAAAAATAATAGAAGAGGAAGGCAGACGGAGAAGTCAGAAGGCTTGAAGTATGAGAGGAACTTGACCTGCCATCGCTGGAGGGGCCACGGGGAGTGCAGGCAGCCGGGAAGAGCAAAGCCCAGCCTTCCGCTAATAGCCAGCAAGGAAATGGCTTTCTCAGTCCCATAAACCACAGGGAACTGGATTGGGCCAATAACCCTAATAGCCTGGAAGTGGATTCTTCCAGAGCATCTGCCTAAGAGCCCGGCCCACAGACACCTCAATTGTGGTTTGTGAGACCCAAAACAGAGGAACCAGCCAAGGCCACCAACCTCTAATCTGCAAAAATGTGCGACAACAAATTTGTGTTGTTTTAGGTCCCTAAATTCATGATACTTATTACAGTAGGCAGCAGGAAACTAATACACGTCCCTTCGGTCCCCTTTACTCTGGAATAGTTCCTGAGACCTTCTGTCTTGACTACTGACATTTTATGAAGAGTACAAGCCAGGGGCGCCTGGGTGGCTCTGTTGGTTCAGAGTCCAACTCCAGCTCAGGTCGTGATCTCATGGTTCATGAGTTTGAGGCTCTACATTAGCTTAAAAATTTCTCCATGTAAAGGAATGCTACAAGGTGTCCCTAATTACAAATGTTCATCAACATTTTTAGCATCTAGTTTGTATTTTATGTCTCACCATAAAGTTACATCATGCTTTACTAGACTGGGACATTGAGCTTATTTCTAGTTTCTCACAATTTTTATTTCTGTGAGGCCAGAAAAATAGCATCTTACCATTTTTATTTGCATTTTGTTGTTTGCTAAACAAACTACTGAGTCTAAAATTAGATATATTTTTCATATTTAAAATCCGTTTTAGGGTGCCTGGGTGGCTCCGTCGGTTCAGTGTCCGACCTCGGCTCGGGTCATGATCTCACGGTTTGGGAGTTCGAGCCCCACATCAGGCTCTGTGCTGACAACTCAGAGCCTGGAGCCTGCTTCGGATTCTGTCTCCCTCTCTCTCTGCCCCTCCCCCACTTGTGCTTTGTCTCTCTCTGTCTCTCAGAAATAAATAAATAAATGTAAAAAGAAATTTTAAATTTGTTATAATTTCTTCTTTAGTGAAATACCTGTACTTTTCCCACTTTTCTATTTAGGGTTTTTTTTTTTTTTTCCTTTTGACGAAGTTATGTGTTTTTTTTTTTTTTTTTTTTTTCTTTTCTGTGTGCTCTACTGCTCCTGAATGCAGAAACTGTGAACACCTTATTCACTGCTATATTTCAGCACTTTGAATAGTACCTGATACTTTACTAAGGTCAATAAATACTTGTTGGATGAAAGAGGAATATTTATGAGTCCTCTTCCTGTTTTAAAGGTATATCTACAGGAATTATCTATCAACTACCATGATAAAGACACTGTACTCAGTGACTTGTGTGGATTATTTCTCATACACTGATGACAGTCGTCTGAGGGAGGTTTCATTATTGTCTCTACCTTCACAGATGAGTCTCCCAGAGATTTCAGAAGTTAGCCGTGGCCAGACAACCAGCAAGTGGTTGGGGCTGGCATTTAAACAGTCAGTCTAGGGGCGCCTGGGTGGCTCAGTCGGTTAGGCATCCGACTTCGGCTCAGGTCATGATCTCACGGTCCGTGAGTTCGAGCCCCGCGTCGGGCTCTGTGCTGACAGCTCGGAGCCTGGAGCCTGCTTCGGATTCTGTGTCTCCCTCTCTCTCTGACCCTCCCCCCATTCATGCTCTGTCTCTCTCTGTCTCAAAAATAAATAAACGTTAAAAAAAATTTTTTTAAACAGTCAGTCTAGGGGTGCCTGGGTGGCTCAGTCAGTTAAGCGTCCAACTTCAGCTCAGGTCACGATCTCGCGGTCCATGAGTTCAAGCCCCGCGTCGGGCTCTGGGCTGATGGCTCAGAGCCTGGAGCCTGCTTCCGATTCTGTGTCTCCCTCTCTCTCCGACCCTCCCCTGTTCATGCTCTGTCTCTGTCTCAAAAATAAATAAACGTTAAAAAAAAAATAAAAAAATAAAGTCAGTCTACCCGCTGCACTTATGTTAATTTTGGGGCAGTGAGGGGCGCCTGGGTGGCTCAGTCAGTTAAGCGTCCAACTGTTAAGCGATCTCACAGTTCATGAGTTCACGCTCCACGTCGGGCTCTGTGCTGACAGCTCAGAGCCTGGAGCCGGCTTCGGATTCTGTGTCTCTCTCTCTGCCTCTCCCCTGCCTGTGCTCTGTCTCTGTCTCTCTCAAAAATAAATAAACATTAAAATGTTTTTTTATAGTCTGGGGCAGTGAAAATGTAAAACTTTTGTTGTAGTATTCAACTCTGTTTCATTTATAGAGTTTGGTTTTGTTGTTACAACTAGGCCCTTTTATATGAACCCCGGAACTGAATTCAATATGTAAATAACTTGTATGCAAGTTTGTTCATGATCAGGCCCAATGCACTGAATGACAGATAATGCAAGCTATGTTTGGACAACTCTGAAAATGCTTATCGCTGTAACAAAAAATAATCTGCGAAAGAAGAAAAAAATCTAGAAACCTTTTGATGGGACATATAATTGGCTTCTTAGTAGAAAACCCAACTAATTCTGAAGTGTTTGTATACTGAAAGTACACACCAACTAATAAGTAACAACCTATGAAGTAGGTTTACTTTATGTTTTACCAATTTATTTTCCCACCTGACTTCTTTCTGAAAACATTTAAGGAGACTACAGCAAGGCTCTAGTTAACCCTCTTCTTCTGCAAGCTTGTCAGAGTAAAGGGCTTGAGTTCTTTGCAATTATTTTTTACCTTTTGGCAACTTGCACAAAGTCTTCACTAGCTTGGGCCAATTCTTCCGCCATCTTCTCCAAACAGGCAAATGCTTCATTTTCCATGTCTTTCTTCTCCATCGAAATGATCAGATGGCAGAGTTGAACAGTCATTGGGGAGATGATTCTCTCAATGGCCTTGTTCTGTATCATAGAGCCAATGTCTTCTGAGAGAAAAGATTCCATCTCTTCTAGTCTCTGAACAGAAGTATGATGTGGTCTTAGCCCACGCTGACCGACATGTATAAATATTTCTCTGCCTTGATGTTCACCTAATTTGACCCCTACAATGGGAAAGAAATCTATAAAATATTAAAGAGCTAAATGGGGGGGTAATTTTCAGGACCTTCAAAGTACAGAATATATTGTGGCTTAGCAGCAACACGTAAAAAAGTAAAATAAGGACACACGGGACAGGTTTAGAGGAAGGCAAACAGGATGGAAAACAGGCTTACATACACAAACTGTATGAAACAGATAGTTTAACCAACGGTGAATCTAACTATGAAGATATGACTGAGGTCTTCTTTATTTGTAGAACTAATACAGTAGAGGAAAGAAATATTGCCTTTTATTCTTCGGAGCTTCTCAGAACAAGGAATGAAAGAAAGCCATGTGGCAAGACAAAGTTCTCTCTTAGATTGAATGGGCATCTCAAATCAAAATTCTCAAAGATCCTAAGAATACTCTTACTTGGGGCTTAATAAACTTCCTTCCCCTGGATGTATACAAGGCTGAATGACAAGCTGAGGATACCATATGGAAATTTCAAGCATCGTATGGGCGAATGGACAAAATTGCAATGCTGAAATGTTTGATCGATAATTCCAAGAGTGTAGCTTCCCACAGAGAACCAACAAGGCGGTGGGGGAGGGGGGACGATGAAGGTTTTTGCTTACCTTTCTGAGACGATACTTCCCACTCTCTAAGGCAAACAGTAGACCACTGAATTCACTCTAGATGTAAGGAATCCAGTTTTTTGTCTTTTGTTTTTAACCAGCAGCAGGAATCTATTTACATCCACGCGACAGTTCAAGACCGTGGCACCGCCCAGCAACTGTTAGCTGACTCTGCTACTGACGTCACAGGCAGGATTGCTGACAAACATCATAATTTATACATGGAGCTATGGAAGATCTGCTGTTTCTGCAGTATTTAAAGTCATGCTTATTCAAAAGAATAAGAACTAGACTAAACTACGAGGAAAAGTGAACTGTGCTAATCAATCCAGTCATAAAAATAAGATTCAACTTTGAGTCTTCAGGCAGTTTTGTTGTGGGGAATGAAAATGAAATCTGGCACCAGGGCTAATGAAAGGCAGACGATGAATCATTGAGCAGTTCAATTAACTTGGCTTCTTTCTAGTTCCCTCGTGTGGGTTTTCACAAGGGTTTGTTGAGGGAATATTCTGGCAGTTTCTTGAGAACACTAAAAGGAATGGGGCTTAAGCTACAGGAAAAATAGACTTTAATTCCTATTAGGTGTGTACTGTGTTTCAGATGTTTTCCACGCATCAACTCACTTATTCCATGGAACAACTTAATTGTTATGAAAAGTTTCACTTCATTAGTGAGGAAGCTGAAGACTGGGGTGTATGAATGGTGCCAAATCTTTGAGAATGATTTCCTATTCAGATTATTAGCCATCCCCGGACTTTCAGTAAGTTTCTAAAGATTACAGGGTCTGAGTTGTGTCTGGTCAAGAAAACAGAAATGACTCTAGGTATTTAAAATGGAGGGAATCTGGGGTTGCCTGAGTGGCTCAATTGGTTAAGTGTCCGACCTCAGCTCAGGTCATGATCTCACAGTTTGTGAGTTTGAGCCCTGCGTCAGGCTCTGTCTCGAAGCTCTGGAGCCTGGGACCTGTTCTAGATTCTGTGTCTCCCTCTCTCTCTGCTCCCCATCCCCATTCATGCTCTGTCTCTCTCTCTCTCTCTCTCTCTCTCTCTCTCTCTCTCTCTCTCAAAAATATTTTTTTCTCTCTATTAAAAATTTGTTGTAAATGGAGGGAATTTGGTTCAAGGAATTAATTGCAAAAATGTTGGGAAGGATAGTGATTGAGGCACGATTTCTGGTAACAGTTGAGTGAAGAGATTGTCAAATTCTCTTCCCTAGAAGCAACTGGAAATATGGGATGGAACTGCCCTAAAACAACCATTTCAACACCCTGGAAACTGACCAAATGCATACAACAATCCAAGGTGCGTTTATGCTTGAGTACTTGCTGGACTTTGTGAAGCTCTATGGAGTTCTACTATGGGGCTGACTCCACCTATGCCATCAACATGGGGCTCTACGAGGGAGGGAAGTCCATGAGGACCAGCAGCTTCTCTATTGCCTTCTCTATTGCCAAACTGGCTCACCCAGTTTGGAGCAATGGGTGAAGACACCCAGGATCGTTGTCAGTGAAAGTGATTTCCCAGAGGCAGGAGAGTCTGTCTATTACAAGACATACTATCCTTCAGCCTATAGGGGAATGGCACTGGATGGTAATTCAAACCAACAGAAAGCAGTGAAAAATTTCTATACAGTTACTTACATAAGGAATTATCAAAACCATACATGCATTTTTTCTCTTAACAGATTTAAAAATATAAGATTATGTAAAATAACAATTATAACACTATATTGTTGGGTTTACAAGAATAAAAGCATGAAGGAGGGGATGGAGAATAGAACTACATTAAAGCAAATTTTCATTATTTTACCAGGATTAAATTAGTACTGAGCTGAAGCAAAGTTTTTTTTTAAGATGCACATTATAATCCCAAAAGCAAATGCCAAGAAAATAACTTTAAAAAATACTAAAAGTAGGGATGCCTGGCCTTCTCAGTCGGTGGAGCATGTGACTCTTGATCTTGAGATCATAGGTTCACGCTCCACATTGGGTGCAGAGATTACTTTTAACAAAATCTTTTTACAAAAATACTAAAAGTAATCAACAATGAATTAAAATTGCATACTAAGGGCAGCTGGCTGGCTTAGTCAGTAGAGCATGCGGCTCTTGATCTCAGGGCCATGAGTTCAAGTCCCATGTTGGGCATGGAGCCTACTTAAAAAAAAAAATAGTGAAAACATTATTTAACATAAAAGACGGCAATCAAGAAGGAGAAAATAGAAAACAAATAGCAAAATGACAAATGTACAACTAAATCAATAATCATATTAAATCTGAATTCTCTAAACACCCTAATCAAAACACAGACATCGACAAACTGCATAAAAAAGCAAAACCCAATTCTATCTATAAGAGATACAACCTTGATTCAAAACACAAATAGGTAGAACATAAAGTGATGGGAACAAGCTATCCCTTGCAAAAAGGAACCAAAAGACAGCAAGAGTGCTGTGCTGGGTTGAACAGTGTCCTTCCAAATTTCATCTCTACTGAGAACCTGTGAAAGCAACTTTATTTAGTAATATGTTTTTTGAAGGATGTAATCAAGTTAAAGATAAGGTCATACTAGATGTGAGTAGGCCCTAATTCAATGACTGATATCCTTATAAGAGGAGAGAAATTTGGACAGGGAGACAGGATGCCATGCAATGATGGAGGCAGAGATTGCAGTGATGTATCTATCAGCCAGAAGCACCAGGGACTACTGACAACTACCAGATGCTAGGAAGAGACAGAGAAGGATTCTTCCCTAGAGCCTTGAGAGAAAGCATGCCCCTGATGACACCTTAATTTCAGACTTCTAGCCTCAGAACGGTAGGAGAATCAATTTCTGTTGTTTTAAGCTACCCAATTTGTTAGCAGCCCTATAAAAAAAATGAGGGTTGCTGGGGTGGCCCAGTTGGTTAAGCATGGGACTTCAGCGCAGGTCATGATCTCATGGTTCATAAGTTTGAGCCCCACGTTGGGTCAGCTCGAGCCCCACTTTGGGTGAACCCCGCTCCTCTCTCTCTCTCTCTGCCCCTTGTGGGACTCTCTCTCTCTCTCTGCCCCTTCCTCACTTGTGCCCTCTCTTTTTCTAAAAAAAAGGAAGAAAGAAATAAAAAAAGAAAGAAGGAAAGAAAGGGAAAGAAAGAAAAGAAAAGAAAAGAAAAGAAAAGAAAAGAAAGGAAAGAAAGAAAGAAAGAAAGAAAGAAAGAAAGAAAGAAAGAAAGAAAGAAAGAAAGAAATGAATACAAGGGCACCTGGATGGCTTAGCTGGTTAAGCGTCTGCTTCAGCTCAGGTCATGATCTTCTCACAGTTTGTGGGTTCGGGCCACACGTTGGACTCTGTGCTAACAGCTCAGAGCCTGGAGCCTGCTTCAGATTCTGTGTCTCCCTCTCTCTGCCCTTCCTTGCTCATGCTCTCTCTCTCTCTCTCAAAAATAAAATAAACGTTAGAAAAAAATTGGGAAATCCTTGAATATTTAAAAATTGAACAACACACTAATAAATGGCCTATAGATCAAAGAAGAAATCACAAGGGAACTTAGAAAATTGTCTGAATTGAAATAACATGAAAACACAACAGATCAAAATGTACTGGATACAGCTAAAGCAGTAGTTAGTGGGAAATGTATAGCTTTAAAATCCATAAAAGGAAAAAAAAATCAGGAAATTAGAATTCATGGAAATTTAAAACTTTTGCACTACAAAAGACATCATTAAAATTGAAAAGATAGGGGCGCCTGGGTGGCTCAGTCGGTTAAGCGGCCGACTTCGGCTCAGGTCATGATCTCGCGGTCCGTGAGTTCGAGCCCCGCGACAGGCTCTGTGCTGACAGCTCAGAGCCTGGAGCCTGTTTCGGATTCTGTGTCTCCCTCTCTCTGACCCTCCCCCGTTCATGCTCTGCCTCTCTCTGTCTCAAAAATAAATAAACGTTAAAAAAAAATTAAAATTGAAAAGATAAACCACAGACTGAGAGAAATATTTACCAATCATATATCTGGTGAAAAAATTCTTGGGGTGTCTGGGTGGTTCAGTTGGTTACATGTCCAACTCTTGATTTCAGCTCAGGTCACGATCTCATGGTTCACGGGTTCATGCTCCACATAGGGTTCTGTGCTGACAGTGTGGAGCCTTCTTGTGATTCCCTCTCTCCCTGCACCACCCCCCGCCAAATAAATAAATGAACATTAAAAAAAAAAAAAAAAAGAATTCTTACTTCTCTCTCCTTTTCTCAGCCATTGTGCTGTGTGTGGTTGACCTTTCTTTGCCATGTCGTCTCACAAGATGTTCAGGATCAAACAATTCCTGGCCAAGAAACAAAAGCAAAATCATCCCACTCCTCATGGATTCAGATGAAAATTGGCAATAAAATCAGGTACAACTCCAAGAGGAGGCAGTGGAGAAGAACCAAGCTGGGTCTATAAGGGATCGCACGTGAGATGGCAAACATATTTATGCTGCATGAAAGTTACGCCCTCAGATCCTATCATTCTGTAAACATCACTACTACTTGAACAATGGATATGTTTTATCGGGGAAATGATTTTTCTCTCTTACATGCTTCTGCACCAGTAGGTTAGTTCAACAATACATATGTGAGACCTTCTGTTTGGGGGAAAAAAAAAAAAGAATTCTTACAAGTCAACAATAAGAAGACAACCCAGTTAAAAGTGGGCATAAGATTTAATAGACTTAAATAGATTCAGTAAACTTTTCACCAAAGAAAGTACACAAAAGGCAAGTAAAAAGATGCTCAACAACAACATAATCATCAGAGAAATGCAAATTAAAGGCATGAGACACCGCTACATAGACAGCTTAATGGCTGTCAAGGATGCATCAGGGGGCACTTACATGGTCTTTCCAGCTTTGGGAGGACACCAGGCAACACAGCCCAAAGAAGGGTAGGATTCACCCTGAGGAGCACTGCAGGCTGGTGAACCACAGAGGAGGCTTGGTGAGGCTTGGCATGAGAAGGAAAGCATCCTCCCAGGAATATCTGAGGGGAAGAGAATTTCATAAGCCTCAGGAGTTATGTAAGTGAGGGAATGAACTAGCAAAACCTTGATGTTATCCTTAGTGATACCCCAGGTCACGTGAGCTTTAGGGATAAACTGGGTAAGGCAGATGTAGCCTTTGGCCTTTCCTCTGGTCAATATAGATGGGACCCAGTTTCCTTCCGTTGTGGATCCATTTCAAAACTCATTTCTTCTAAGAAATTTTCCCTGATGCGTCTCCGCTCTCTCAAATGCCTCTAGTATTCCTGCCTCCTTAGCACCATTAGTTACTATAGTTCTATTGGAGGGGAAAATTTTTCTTATATTTATTGATATTTTATTTAAGTTTATTTTTGTTTAATTAAGTTGGTTATTCACAGGCCCGTTACTCTGTGTGCAAACTCTGGGCACACATCATGCTGTAGCAACATGACCCAGGCAAAAAGAGAGTATGTGCTCCAGCAGAGGCCTCTGGATGGGAGGCACGGGCATCACCTCACGGTCACTGACACCCTGTGACTCTAGGTTTCGCAATGTCCTTTGAATGCAACTCACGGAGTTACTTTTCTATTTTTCCTATTTTCCTTTATCTCTGTGTGGGAGCTACTGCATCCATCCAGGAAGAACAGGAAATAGAGGAGAAAATGACTCCAGTGCCACATGGACATGAGCAGCTTCCTCCTACATGTTGAGATGTGAGTGTTTCTACAAGGTATTCCTGTCCCCACAACTGTCACCCCAACTCAGAATTCTAGAAACTGTAGGAATATTTGCTCCTCTAGTTAAATTCCTCTAACTAGCATCCAGAAAAAAAATGTAAGCTTCCCCAGGAACAGAGCTCTGTGAAGGCAGGGACTTTGTCTTATGTCCTCTGTGCCTTGAACATTGCCTGGAACAAGAATGTGTTAAATGCGGGTTTTCTAGACCAGAAAGGTATGAGTGGCATGCCTCTTCAGGGAGGGGTGTTGAAAGGCTCCCATTGAAAAGGGAAGCAGTCTTACCTTGCTAAAGAGCAACTAAGACCTAAGTCTAAAGAAATAGTAAGTCTTATTTTATTTAGCACAACTGTGAGACAGAAAATGCTAGCTAATTAAAGGTTTTGATTAATAAGGACTTTATGATCCATCTGGTACATGGTTCATCAGCTTTGGAAGGGCTAACGCACACTTCACATTAAAACTCCATCTAACGCACTTTCACTTGACCTTGATGATGATCAGGGTATTTCAAAGACTTTGGCTGAAGTAGTGTGGTAAATGTGCTAAGAGAGACACAATGGGGAGACTTAATTAAAAGGCTGTGACTTTGAAATTGAGCATGCTGTCTTCAATGCGCCATTGCAGTCTGTGATGTATGGAGAGATGTGATGAATGCTGTGTTTCAGAAAGATGGATTCGGTGATGATGTTCAGGGAAGATTGGAGAGGGAAAGGGGCTGAAGCAAGAAGGGCAGCTAGAAGACAGGTGTAGCACCCAAAGCATGAAGTGAGTGTCGTAACGTTAGAGACGATGAGTGAAAAACAATTTTGAGTTGTTTGGTGTCCAAGTATAGGACACAAAGAGAAGGGAGAGGGGAAAGTGTAGTTGAGGATTTTGAAGCTTGTTTCTTAGGAGTATGACCCTCAGGCCCTTCTAAGAAAAGTCCTTGATTTAGAGGCTCCAAGTCTGGCTAGCCAGGTCCTCCCTATGGATGAGACTTTTGTGAGGTCAAAGGGATATGGCCACCCAAAGACGGTTACCCTCCCACTTTCCAGAATATGCTAGGTACCTGAGAACCAGAATTCACTGTCTAAATAGCCCAGCTCTTGTCCTGAACCTGCACTGGCTTCTTCCCTGGGTCTATTGTCCCAAGGGTCAATGGCATTGCTGTGCACCCCTAGGACCAAGCAGTGGCCAAAATGTAGCTGTTTGTGGGAGGTGCTGGGTGAGTGGATGGAGCCTGAATTTCCTGGATGTAGCGTCCCCATGCATGTGTGCATGGGGTGCAGGATGGAGTCAAGGAAGGTAAGAAACGGGTGGGCCATGGTCAGAGGGCAGGGCCATCTCTTCCAGTATTTCCTACTTTTGGCATTGAACTTCCATGAATCTGAGCATTTAAAAAATCTTGGCCTTTCAGGTCATCCTTATCAATATATATTTGTAAGGGGGGAAGAGAAGACATTTTATCTAGCAGCTTATTGGCATGGTTTATAACTTTAAAATATTTAGACATATGGTAGACATGTAGACATATGGCTTCCATTTGTACTCTTGTCCTATAACTGTAGATGTGGCCTTGCTTTTTAGCCCAACATATTCTTTATTTATAAAGTGTCTTTGTAGGACACTTCTACAAATCTCTCTTGCTGAGAGTTTACCTATTGAATTGTACCTTAAAATAGCTAGTTCAGTTTTTTGTTAACCAGCTTCCCAGTTTTTAAAATTATTAATATGTAATTCCTCGTGTATCCTAAATATGGGTCCTCTGTCTGATAGGTATGTATACACACACACACACACACACACACACACACACACACACACACCAGACATTATATCCTATTCTGTGGCTTTCCTTTTGATTCTCTGGATGGTGTCTTTGGATAAATAAAAGTTATTTTTAAGGTTGTCAATTCATCCGTTTTTTTCCTTTACTCCTAAAGAGTTTTATGTTCTCTTTAAGATCTTTACCTAGAATAAGATCATAAGATTTTCTCTCTTTTTTAAGATTTTCTCCCGTTTTCTTTTAAAATCTTTCTTGCTTTACTTTCACATCTACATGCATCAGATCACAATGAATCTGCAACTGCTTTTGTGAGTGGCACAGGTCAAGATTAATTTTGTTTTCCAAATGTATATCCATTGACCCAGCTTCATTTATTGAAAAGTCCATCCTTTTTCCCTTTGTACTGCAAAGGAACCTTTGAACCTTTATTATGAACCAAGTGACTACATGTATCAATAGATAGATAGCGTTCCTTTGGTCTGTTTGTCTCTCCTGTGCCCAAACCGTACTCTATTAATTACCACAGCTTTGTACTTACTTAAATACTGTAACTTTTATAGGTCTTGACATCTGCTAGTGTTGTGTTCCACCTTTCTTCTTCAAGATTGCTTTAGTTATTCTCGGACCTTTGCATTTGTGTATAAATTTTAGGGCTGCCTTGTCCATTTACATTCCGCAGACCTGGGACTGTGCCTTGGAACTTTTCAATTTTACCCATAAAACGTCCCTTCTCAACAGTGGGTGGAAGAGCCGCAGCGACGCGCGCAGAAAGGGATTCTCCGCCGGTACCGCCCCCTGGATGGGACTCGGGACTCAGGGGCACGCGCCCAGTCTCCGGTGTCCCCACGCTGCGCCAAGGCCGCGCTCGCCCCCGCCAGCCCCCGGGCGGCCCCCAACTGGGTCCGAGACGCGCTGCGGAGCCGGGGCGCACGAGTCCTCCACCCCCCGGCCCAGGCGGGGGCGGCCGCGCGGCATCACGGGGCGGAGGCGGGGCCGCGCCGGCAGGTGGGCGCGGCCTCCGGGCTGACGCGCGGGCG